ATGTCTATATATGTATGTAGTTAAAAGGGGTTTACTTTAAAATATATATTTTTATACAACGCTCTAATTTCATTTAAATCAATGCAATTTAGATTATATATTAGATTACATATATAATTTATTATCATATCGTATCACAGCGAACATTTCACAAGCTATAAACATTTTCGTAAAATACATTTTATACCCCTTTCCTTAAGGCAAACAATTTGTCATATAACACACACACCTGTCATTCAAGCCCATAATATGCATTCTATATACTTGTGTGCGTACATATATAAATAATGTATATAAAGTGACTTATCTGTATATGCTCGTAATGGCCGTCGACTCGTGCGCCTGTCCGACTGTTGGGGAGGGGGCCTTAAAACGCGCGCGCGCTAATTAGCGGTACGTGCGGAGTGCGTTTTGTCAGGCGCTCGAAATGATATAGAATATGGACCTGGTGACAGAGGAGTGTCGAAAGTGGCGTGCGGAGTGCGGAGTGTGTGGAGTCTGGAGCTGGGCTCTCAAACCCGAGGGCATTGCCGGCCAACTCGAACGACTGTGACAGCTGAGATCGCGTTGTGTTATCAATGAATTCAAATCAGGAGACATCAGACATCAGACAGTCGACAGCGGACAGCGGACAGCGAACAGCTCACCTGTAACAATGACATGTGTTGCTGTTGCTGTTAGCTGTTTTCTGCTGATGAGAGCGTGCAGTTGTGACCCCAGTGACCCCATCTACATCCAGAGCCACATCCATGGGCCCCTCTCCTTGTGCCTGCCACTTGGTGCTGGGCTATAAAACAAAATGAGAAATGTTGTTGCAAAAAAATGGCAAGCTGACATAAGTGCACTCTAGTCGGGTGGGGAAATACCCTGTAGGCAGTTAGATAATTTATATTTCCTTAAAATTATAGGCAGAGTTGGAGATTACACTGAGTAGAATTTATTATTAAATTACCTTTTTTTTTTTGTATTTATTATATTATTATTTTTTTTAATCGTTTACACATTTTATTTTTGAAGTTTTATTTTATTTTTTTTTATCAAGTAACTTACAATGTAGGATGGTTGAGAATATGAAACATTGTTATACTAAAATACTTATATAATATAAGAGAGTATATATAAAGTGGGAGAATTGTAATACTAAAACCCTTACTTAATATAAGAGCGTCCACATTTAGTATATAAAAGCATAGCTATAAAGCGAATATATAGAAGAAAAATAAGAGATCTTTATTTCTGTATATATTTTATAGATATAGTATATATGTTTATAGTTGGGCTATACATTTTTCGACTTTTCTTTATAGTTACTTTAAACTACATAACTATACATAAATATCAATCCACTCACACATACTATCATTTTGTTATCCCTTCAGTTGTCTTCCATAGCAAATTAATGAAGAGCACTCATTATACCCCCATTTAACTATTTCCATCAATTATAGGGTATTGATTGCATATGCTTGTATGCTGGCACTAGATGCCCTATTAGATTTAAACGTAATGATTAAGCCATTTGCAGTGCGTGTGCAATCAATTTATTGTTGTTGTTGTTGTTGCTGGCATCTGGAAAACTTTCAACTGCCCAATCATTATCCTTGACCCACGGTCTACGGTCTACGGTCTACTGCAGCAGACAATGTGTCATTTTAATAGGCCGACATTATTCACAGTTGTGTTTGAGTTAAGTTCAGTTCAGTTAAGTTCAGCTTCAGTTTCAGTGTTCGGGTAATTAAAAACACTTGTCTGATTTAAGCATAGGAATTTTACAGCAGGTCTACTGCGACAGAGAGTGATATGTGCTATAAGTACATTTTTAATGGACTCGAATTGCATTCAATAGCACTTTCTAGTCTGACAGAAATGATATGTTTACTAGTAATTGTTTATTTTTTTATTATTATTATTTTATTAATTT